GACCAAGAAACTCTCAGAGTTGGAAGGCTCTAAATCTTCGGCATTTCGGCACTTTCAGGCTTTCGTACTTTCAAAAAATTTCAAAAGCTAGGCTTGTGATATGCGGTTGTGTTTTATTTGAAGTTATAAATTGAGCTTTCATTGTACTCATTAACGGAAATGTAGGCAAATTTTCCGTGACCATGTTTTTCTGAAAAAAAAATCAGCACGTAAGGCAAAATATCCTGCAAAGATCACAAAATTCAGAAAGTTCTTCGAGAAATTGAATACGTTTTAACCATAAGCAATACATACCCACGTGAACTCCTTCTGTTTAAAGGTGTTGGTAAAGGTAATTCACATTGCAGCGTGTCATATTCTGATGGTGCGGAAGCAGAAGCAGGACAGGGTACCCGAATGGTCAAGACTATAAGCTCACGTCTGCTCTCTGAACAGCCACGGCTTCGACCATTGCCAACCCGCTAAGCATGCCTTCCCTCGGCAAATTGAAAAAATTGTGGCAATAGTGGTGTCAGGTCCCGATTCACAGATCGGAGTCACAACAAAACTGACTGGAAATCAGCATTTAATGCTAAGACAGATCCGGAAGAGGCGCGCAGAACGCTCGTTCGAGAGCTACACGCGTGAGGACGACTCTGCTGAAGAAATTTTCTCAAATTGGGATTTTGAGCATGTGAATCACTCACAGAGAAGTTTCGAAAGATCGGCTATATCACGAGAAACCAGGGATTGCGTGGTTGGTTTGGCCGAATTCCGCAGCAATAAAAAAGACAGCTAACGGATGCCGTTCCTATGGCGATAGTAGATTCCTTCCGAGGCAGCTCTCTGCTGTGAACAGAATCAGTGATGAAATCATGGATGTAAGAGTACATTGGAGGAGGGTACTGGACAACTTGGCTCAGTCCGCGTTCGCAAACACGTACGGTTCCAGAGGATTTCTTGTAAAACGCTATCTTTGTGCAAGAGATGGAGAGAAATTGCGACAGATTATCCCTAGTGACCACGCAAAACGCATTCGTGTGGAAATGAGAATTAAACGTTCTTTTTTTGCGAACAGTCGCTCTAAATAAATAAGTGATAATGTCAAAGAATTTTTCACTACCCCACAAGCTCGTAAGGCACATAGCTAGTGTAACACTTCCAACTACCTGCCGATGTGGCAGAAACAGCGAAGTTGGAAGACAACAAAGAGCTAGGTAGCTTAGTTAGTTTGGGAGATTTGCTTCGCCTTTTAAGGTCTTAATGAATGCCGCAACTAGCCAAAAGACTTCTGAAATGACAAGGATCCTGGCGGATTAGAATGCAAATAAATAGAAAAGCTCTTCTAGCCATCTGAAGTTCATTGGCGGTTCTGTTGAAACATCAGACAATGTAAAGTCCCATCATAATAGCCTTGTAGGGCCTAAGAATATACAATGCAATGAGAAAGAGACTTTTCTATTCATAAACGGGAACAGCTCTCGGAAACCGACGGAAAATGGAACAGACGGAGGAAATTGTGGTTTTTTTGAACGATTCAACAGGATTGTGGAATCGTGCAAAAGGTAAGAATGATGGCAGGAAAGGGAAAAACAGCACATTTCAGAAGTAAGCTATCGGTTCCTTACGTAATCGTGATTTTCGTCATGTGTGTCTGAGAGGTCCGAGTAATGTAGATCAACCTAAGATCGTAATAAAGGAGGTGATATAGGATGAGCAACCGTTTTTCCTTTTACTGCATTTCTGCTCGTGACTTCTGTTCGTGGTTCTGGAGCTTGTAGTCTGGTACGTGGCTACATTAGCGATACTTATTTTTGTTCCATTTATAGAGTAAGATAAAGACCTGTGAGCATGGAATAAAATAACGTTTGAAAGTAGTTATTCGATTTTCTCGGCCCTTAAAGGCCGTTGGTTGTTGCCATGGTAAATTCCTAAGACGAGTAGAATTAATACGGACGGAAATCCGCGGCCCTGACCAGGTGCTGCGTAGCGCCTTACACACGTGTAGCCGTATATACCGTAGCGGTTACTGGCAAGATGCCTACGGGTTTTGGTCGTTCCCACGTCGTTTTTTCGCCATTTTCCCCCCACTATATAGCACCCTGATAGCATTTTGAGTACCTAATTATCGCGCCATATGCCTTCAAAATGACAATCGATCAGTGGGCACTTACTAATAACAACCCATGTTCATATATGTATGAATGATATCCGACATGATTCCAGCCTTGTATCTACTTGAGGTATCTAGAGCTACCCACGGGTACGCGATTCTGTTCCTTTGAAGCGGTCGACAAACTGTTTCTCGCTCTGCTCCTGCTCGCGCTCCTCTGGGACTTAGTGTTCATGGGGTTGCGGCGCTGATTTTCACTCCGGCTCCTTCATCACTGAAGTCTTATCCTAGATCTTGAGAACTAACCACTTTTTGGTGATAAATTTCTTTCCCAGTGCTATGGAGGGAGTTTCACGTGCCACATTTCCATTTGCATATAAAGAAAGAGTTTTTGTGCAGTTCGAGCAGAATAAGAAAGTTTCGGCTTCTTATTCTGCTCGAACTTTCGGCTTGCTTCGAGAGTTTTGTACTGGGGATCTGCTTAGCCAGGCCGATCCAGTAACTATAGTACTACACTCCAGCGCTACTTCTCCTCTCTTTATTTTTTGCGAAATTCCATCAAAATACTGATTATGATATGCAACAAAATGATACCAGATTCATTTCAAGTGAGCACGTAGCACTAAGTGGCTGAGTACTAATAAAATGAACAGATCAAATTTGCTATTGTTCGGTGTACCTGTAGGATTCCGCATTATGTATTTATTAGGTTGTTCGGGAAGAAAGGCGCGCGTTTGAGTTTAAAAAATTTTGGCACTATTTACCCTTTACTGCCCCAATCTTCCAAAAACAGGCCAGTTTTTGACCGACTTTTTTCTGCGTTGGCAAAATTGGCTAAAAATTTGTTCCCTGGGGTAGTTTGACCTCCTGAACATGAATATCACATCCGCTCGGCACGAAACCTCATGCCCGCGCCAGGGGCGCCACCGCCAAAAAACCCTAAATGAAACTCGCTGAAAACTTGCTCGGGGTAGTCTGACCTCCTGAACACGAATATCACATCCGCTCGACGCGAAACCTCCTGGCGCCCGCGCTACAGGCGCTGGCGCCAAAATACCCCAAATCACCGGCGCCTGTGGCGCGGGCGCCAGGAAGTTTCGGGCTAAGCGAATGTGATATTCGTATTCAAGGAGTCAAATTACCCAGGAAACAAAATTTGAGCAAAATCTGTCAATAAAGGAAAAAAAGTCGGCTCAAAATTGGCTCAATTCTGGATGGTTGGGCAGTAAAGGGTAAATAGTGCCAAAATTTTTATTATAAAAACGAAATTAAACAAGATTAATTCAAAAGATAATCTCCATTACTATCAATGACTTGTTGCCAACGTTTATGCAAAGAATGGATTCCTCTTTCGAAGAACTCGGCCGGCTGCGACTCAAAGTAGTTGGACTTCTTCGCGTTTTTTTTTTTTTTTTTTTTTTTTTTTTTTTTTTTTTTTTTTTTTTTTTTTTTTTTTTTTTTTTTTTTTTTTTTTTTTTTTTTTTTTTTTTTTTTTTTTTTTTTTTTTTTTTTTTTTTTTTTTTTTTTTTTTTTTTTTTTTTTTTTTTTTTTTTTTTTTTTTTTTTTTTTTTTTTTTTTTTTTTTTTTTTTTTTTTTTTTTTTTTTTTTTTTTTTTTTTTTTTTTTTTTTTTTTTTTTTTTTTTTTTTTTTTTAACTTTCTCTCGGCCAGGGAGTGCTGCATCGACCGGAACAGATGGTAATCGGATGGTGCCAGGTCTGGGCTGTATGGCGGATGAGGCAGGACTTCCCAGCCCAATTCCTCAATTTTTTCCAAAGTGATTTTCGCGACATGTGGACGAGCGTTGTCGTGGAGGAGTTTTGTCGACGTCGTTTCGACACCTTGACGACGCAGTAAGAAGAGAAAAACTCACTTTTTTCTCGAAAAAAACAAGATAGACATAGATAAAAATATACCAAAAGATGCATAATAAAAAATACGTGCCTCGCCTCCTTCCTGTGGACGAAACTGTTCCAAAAAATCTTATATAGTTGGAGAGAAATAAATGGGCAAATTCAACGTGTATCTCTTTCCAAACAACCTAGTAGCTTCCATTTGTACCCAAAGCTTCTGTTGAGTTGCAAGTAACTGTGCGTTGTACAAGAATGCCGTCATAATCCGTCTGTCGTCCATATCGGACATGGCCATAATTACCATAGAGGCTCACTCTTGACCGTACATTGCATAGAAGTTCGAGGGTGTACTGTGCCGGACTCAAAAAAGTTGTGTTCTCATTCTAGATAGCTGAATTGGTGCGAACATTCCCCACCATATCCATCTCTTCTCACTTGGCGTCTTAAATCGGTGCTATTTATTCTCTTAATGCACTTCAATGTTTTGTCGGCAAATATTCCGGCACCTCAGCGGGACATGCGCACAGTTATCTTCCGGAGCATTAGTTCGACGGAGAAGTGAATATGCCACCCTTTTCAGCTGGATTGTGAGTTCAACAGAAAATACCAGGCGGAGGTGTCTACGTTCACTCGTTTGTCGATCATCCACAAGAAGAAACTATTGTATATGCTTCAGCAACTACAGACAGGCTCTCCAGCCATTTTGACATAAGGAGACACTGTCTAAAGATAAGCTCATGTGAGAGGTACTAGCGTATTCGGAGCACCCATATGTTGAACTGATGCCAAAGTGATTAGTCCAAATCTGGTATCTACAGGTGGGAATTCTGAAAACTTAACTGTTACTCTAGGATTGATAGAAACTGCGATGCCATGACAATGCACTGACATTACACGAGCAGTGTAATTATTTTCAGTTCATTTCGAACCAAATCATCATCGAAGCCGAATAACGTTGCTTAATCGTACCTCAATAACAGATTCTTTGGAGAAACGATTCAAATTCGTAATGGTTGCCGTATTAAGCATCAGTAGCATTGAAAATGGAAGAAATACATTAAGAAAGTTCCGGCACCAAGAACATCCATATCGTTTTATAGGATTCACTGAAGAAAAAAAATTAATTCTTCTTGTAGCCTCCAGCTGCTGGTCGATTAGAAGTACCTGCGAGTAATTTCAGCCAAGTCAAGCCGCAGATTCGTGAACATCGGACAATGCGGAAGAGTCTGCATCTCTAATTCGAAAAATACAGAGCCCTGAAATTGTGAACCTTTGAAAGCGAGATTGCCCTGCGTTTCCTACTCCAAAAAAGCAGATATCAAGCACCGTGTTCGTTCATGCATTCAATGAGTGAAAAGAACTTGTTCAAGTAGTGGAGAGTACGTACATTCGTTCTCGCTGCAGGCTCTGGTCTGTCATGGAGGGCTGAGTTTGTCTCAGGCTCCTTGTTCACAGATAGCTGACAACCCATTGGTGGAAAACGGGCTTGCGTCAAACTCAGCCCCCTCTGCACCCCTACCCCTCTCCTACCCCAACACGCCCCAACGTTTGTAGCGAATTGGACTGTAATAACATCTCACACACAGCTACATCGAGGTAATCATGCAGCTTCTTATGCATGAGCTTATACCACTGAATAAAACTTGCTCATATTCATTACAAGCACATTCTGCACATCCTGCAGTTGCCTGAAAGGTGGATCCCTTCTTGTTTATAGTTAGTATCGCTCTTCGTGCCCTTGTTGAAACGCGTCCGTGTGACTTTCGCTCGCACTCGTTCGTTCTCTAGACGAGCGTCTCTGCATTTCTATTCCTTACCTTAGCATGTTTGTCAGATGCAGACGAGAGAAAATTACACCAGGTTTACCTGAGGAGTTATAGTCGGTTTCTTGGCCCAGCTCACCGTAGGTCCACGAATGTATTTTAAACCCATTCTGAAGGAGGATATAATAATACTGAAAAATCTTTAGCGATCGCCGTATATTGAAGGCTGCGCGTTTGGAAATGATGAGTCATGCGGCATGTGTCTGCGTTTACGTCGCTTCCTAGTTACAATAAAAAAATCATGGGAAATGCCTTATATGGAACCTCATGTCGAACTGAGGTTGTACGCGCACAGGGCGAAGGTGAGGCGTGATTCATGCCAGCTCTTTCTCCTTACCGCCTCACACTCACCGTTCTAGGTGGAGATAGTTAGTAGCGGAAGAGCCAAACCACCAAGTAACAGTTAAGAATGAATGCTGAGCGCTGCGGCAGTCAGAGGGCAGGGCAGAGCCCTGTTCGCGTATTTGTGAGTTGCTGAATTAGAACACTCCATCCTTGTAGGACACAAGCTTAAGCACATCCCAAAATATTTTGAAGCAAGGCAATAGGCCATGAAAATGCATCCTATGAAAAAATTCATTGAAATTCTACTGAGCACACTGTGGACTAAGAACTTTTCTCTGAAAGTTCTGAATTCCACGCACTGGGTCATGTTTGCTGGAGTGTTCGAGAAATGCCTCTGAGGTAACTTATTCATGCTCACCGCATTCATTCATCTTACTACTTCAGCACTCTTACCTTCATCACTAGTGCCATAAAGAGCACCACTGAAATGACTGCTAAACGTCTCCTCGGTTCAAAGCCGGATGTGGATTGAAGTGAGCAAATATATCGTTCAAATGACGCCGACACTATGAGCAGCGTGGATGCAGCGATTAGCACCTGTAACAGCACAACGTTGACCCTCAGTGTACCATGTCTGACTGAGCAACTACCGACATATTTGCATTTGTCGTACTTGTATTTGTAGGTTGCTACTCTAGACAAAAACGTGAAAGACAATGGAACTGGCTGGTGCTGCTTCATAAATTAAAATCGTGAAGGCAGGGATCGCTCTAACAGTTGTCGTGAGCTCCGAGATGGCACTCACACTCTGGGTGAAGGTTCAGTGTTATATCTCCTTTATCGGACACAGGTTGATATGGAGTGCTGTGGTATCAGGTGTTCACGATAATCTTGAATATTGAGTGTGAGATCACGAACCCACCTGTCCAGTTGTTGAAACATATCGAACGTAATGGTGCCATGCCACATAAAGCGTTTCCACACGAAAATATTCCCAGATCAGTGCAGAGGGAAAAATGAGCTAAATTTCTCAAACTATTAGCGCGAAGGAAATTCACAAAATAGCTTTCTATCTCTTCTCATTTCGTGCTCACCTTATCCTGAAAAAAACTTGAATGCTAGTCACTTGAATTGCTAGTCAGTGAAACTGCAGCTATTTAGATATCAGCTATTTTACTTTTTTTACTTTATTTCTTCCTCCAAAACACCACAGAGTGCACCACATATTCCCGAAGAACACTTAGACCAAACTATGACGGTAAATTATAGTATGAATGAATCAAAGAGAAAACGTATATAGGCCTAGTGTCAGGGTAGTAGAAAATTTCCGACGCGGTAAGCTACCCGAAGAACGGTCGAACGGTGAATGACGCCATGCCTCACAGAAGAGAGAGTAAAAATGATTGGGCAGTTTCGTTAATAAAAGGATAAAGGATAAAGTCTTCGCCGTTGATCAATCCCTTTGTGGGATGCGGCACGCATTCTACTTCCATTCAGAATCGTAGTGGCTTATTGAATGCGATGTGGCCTATACAATGACTTGCGGTGGCCAGCCGATGTACAAGTCAGTGTTTTATCCTCCCAGACGAATCTGGTACCAATTTACCGTCCCCGGAGGGTAGAAGGCTTGGTTGGCCTGGGCGGGAGTCGACCCGGGATTTGAACCCGGCGCCGCGCGAGTGGTAAGCGCGCCACTTGTCACTACACCACCTCCGCCTCACCTCCGGTAAATACATGAAGAAAACCATGACTACTATCAAAATATAGTCAGTGTTTCCGAAAATTTTTGTTCAACCTGAATTATGACTTGACTGGGCCTAGGACCTTCGTCTCCACTCGCTATATTTGCCACACTTCTCTGAACTTGCTCAGGCACTTTCGTTATGCTAGTAGATGTGCAGTCGATTAAAAATGAATAATCAAGATAAATAAATAGATAAATAAATAACTAAAAACCAATAAATAAATAAGTGAATAGGAGGAACAAAATTGTGCTTTTCACCAGAGTATATGCGTGGAAGTAGCAAGCCCAACAAACGGTTCAGATTTTCTCTTTTTGTTAATAATGTCATCAGTCCAGGTGGGCAGACGCGACCAGTGCTATATCGATTCATGTGCATGCAAAAAACGCAACACGCCAGAAAAAAATGCGGAAAACCACAGAAAGTATAGAAGACCATATCTTTTGTTCGTTTCTCGTTTCCGGTTTTTGGGACCCCGTTTACCTCGCTTCTTGTTGTCTTGTCTTTATTGCCAAGTTGCGTTCGAAAGAAAGGACCTGTGATTGCGAGCGCGTTTCTGACTGACTAAACTTTATTAATTTTTTGTCCGCAAGATCTTTGCTTTATTTTTCTAGTTTAGTACTTTTAATCGTGTCTTGATGTCACGAACGGTCTACCTCCTTATTATCTGGCGACCTTAGCTCGCTAACCTGGCCAACATGGTGGCTGAGCCGACGTTCATGGTATTTTCATAGGTGAAAAAGGAGAACTATTCGACATGGGATTCCAGCCAAATTCGTTTTTATGCGTTCACGTCATCCGTTCCTTTTGATACTGTTAGCGGCTCCTGGCATAGCATCGAGTAGTGGCTGTTTCAGCGCACTGCTAGCAGGGTGAGGAAGGAGAAGGGAGAAAGAAAAATCCAACCTGCTGAGACCGGTGTGCTGTCCAGCTCCTCCGTTTGGAATCGGTAGCAGTGCATCCATTGAAAAAGGTCCAACGCTACTCAAAATTGTTATGGCACCGTGTGCAACACTATCGCTCTCAGACGGCTTCTCAGTAAGGCGAAACTACATTCTGCTACATTCTCTGACACTTAGAACAAGGAACTGTTCGGAAAAAAACGTAAATTCAAATCATGCTTTCATTTAGTTTGCTGGTACTACGTATTGACGTATTAGTATTACATCTATCTACATCATTGCTGTCGGACTACATATAGATGCATTACCTTGTCCTACGGTTAATCTCATCGATGACACCTTTGTTATTGCACACTGCAGCATACGTTGCTCTTACAATGTACTAGGTTGCAGTGAAAGTGTTGTCAATGTTGTTATCGAATACATGGTTAGGACTTTTTCTGTGCGTACAATATGTTAGTACTTACAAGGGAGGTCGCTCAGGTCGTAGTGAGCTTTTTAGAAACGGTTTGTTGCATGATGTAAGGGTCCATGCATGGACCACACAGATGGGTTTATTTTTGCTAAACGTCACGAGGGATGCCAAAAAAGGAGTGATTAGACAAGAAAGGGCTATTAAACCACCTTATTCATCTCCGTTCTAGCTGTAGCGTTGACAGTGTATAGTATATGAGGTGTTCTTTGAGCAGGCATGAAAAACAACGCAAAATAAGGTCAAAATCCAATACTTTACTTGGCATTGGTGAGCTATTATGGTGTCCGGAAAATTCTGAGAAATTTCAACCAGCTCATTTAACACTTATCAACAACAATAAGAGATAGTAGTTCATAGTTATAATAAATATTGTCCATCCTATGTCCCTTACCTTTTGGGCGGGATTACCTTGCGTGGGAGCTAGAACTAAGCGAGTACTGAGAATGAGGGGCGTACGCAACATCTAAGCTAAACTTCCATGGAAGAGACCGATTGATCTCCTAGTATAGATGATTTTGAAGCGCATTTTATCCAGCATCGGAGGCGGTTCCTCATTCCCGATTTGACCGATAGAGGAGCCAGAACGGTGAAGATGAAGTAAAAGGCGTTGGAGTCGTGCGCGCTCGTACATTTTCAGGTAATGTCAAATCATACCAACAATGGAGAATAATAACAACCAGCATTAGTATTGGTCTACCAACATTTCGCTTTTTTGTAGCACTTGATACACGACATTTGTTGGGGCATTCGCTTGCTACACATCAAAACTAAAAGTGTGAAATTTTCTCGAACTTTCCCGGACAACCTGATACATTGGAGTTTTCTTGTTTTCTCCGCATGTCTCTTCAGTGGGTCCTGCCTCGCCCCGCTCGCAGTAGCCGTTGGTGTGGTGGATAGCGCCACGGACTCTCAACCGATGAATTTGTGGTTCGGATTCTCTTAAAGGCAAATTTTGCATTTTCCAGATTTCTTCCTTCTTCTGTACCTGTGCCTGATAATGTGTATGACCCGAAATACGCCATTTAAGGGCACATTCTATGCGGTGATGGTTTACAAAGGGGCCTTACTCAACTATTACGCTCGCGAAATACTATTGAAGAAACTCTCCCTGAAACTTGGGCTACGGCGGTTATCCGATCACGAATGCGACTCTCATTTTTGAAGATGGTGCAATGTGTCGCCAATTTGGCTGCAAAGGCTTTCTCGTACTAACATCATTTCAGCCTGCGCGCCGGGCCTATTTAGCGCAACTGGTCCCAAATGGCCTCTGCGCCAAAAATGAGTGTCAGAACCGTGATCAGGACCATCAACCACCCCTGCGTACAGAGTTACGCCGGCAAAATTTGTCGGAGCTTTTTGGTTTATGATAACTCTACTAGTGGCTCTCAGTCCCCTCAAGAAGTCGTTATCCAAGCATTGTTATGGGAGGCTTTTCATTTGCTAGTACGCAGACGCATAGTTAGCAGTACAAAATTTGAAAAAGAAGCGACACGCATACAGGGGGGGGGCAAAAAAAAGTCACTTTTCTTCATTGACTTTCGTGGCGCTATAAGTTACACTTTATAAATTCTAATCGGACATTTCTACCACCATATTAAAGAGCATATTAAATACTATTATGACACTCCGCCACAGCCTTCTGGACGAGCGCCATCGAGAGATTCTGGCACGCGACCGCGATGTGGTGCCTGAGATCAGCGAGATAGTCGATTTCTCCGCCACCGTAGACCACCCTATTGAACTCCGCCCGAACCGGGTAATTGAGGGGATTCAGGTCAGGTGACCTACTTGGATATTCCATCTTCTTTAGGTACTCAGCCCCCTTCCATTCCAAGTAGGCGAGAGTTTCTCCAACGCCCTTCGATTCCACGTGGTGGCACCCAATGCTGTAGCAGTACAAAGTTTCCAAGAAGGTACGGGCGACGACATGTGGGGAGGATATTCTTCTCGAGTTGCTCGATGTAACCGCCAGCGCTCACCTTCAGTCCGGGGTCCACGAAGAAAATATTGGTCTTTCCATTCCAGGTACGTCCGGTCCATACCATCAACCCGCGCCTTGGACGACTGCGGTGAAGATGATGTCCTAGACCGTAGCGACGTTGTCGGAGGATGTTGGAGGTCTTCCAGATTGAGAGTACTGGTCTCCAGGTAGCTACCCATGGGTGACTCCACACTAGAAGTTTCGCAGCTGTTTGGAGGTGACATGAATTCCAAAGGTCTTCTCCAGTCAGGCTGCGACTGGAGATGACCTCATATTTTGGTGTACATGAAGGTGATGGGCGAGGGCCAGCTCC